CCCCAAAACCCCAAAACCCCAAAACCCCAAAACCCCAAAACCCCTACCTTCGACCAAAATTGAAGAAAATATTACTAATGAGATCTAGAGTTTCGAAGGAATAATTATGGCTGGAAGAAATCTGACACTAAAAAATAATATTGCATTTTTAATTAAAGACAACTTGAATGTTCAATTTGAGTAAAAAAAATACATCAAAAAAGAAGAGGATGAAACCTCCAAATCAAGGGTGGTTAAACCTTATTATCGCTACACAAATTTTGAATACTATTTAGGAGAAGGAAACATAATTAATTGAGTTCTGCCAATAAGTCTTCTTCCTCTTTTGCTAGTTCTTCAGCTCTAGTTGACACCTTTGCAGCTGGGAGGGGTTTATCTATAATATCGTCACCCAATTCTTCCTCTGCTAGCTCAGCTTCAAGTTCAGCGAGGTCATCTTCTCAGTCCGCAACTTGGTCTTCAGCATAGTTAGCAAAGAAATCATTGATTTCTTCATTCCTCTCTTCAATTTCTTCATGCTTTTCCCTAATATCTTCGAATTTGTCAATATCAGCTTCTTTGGCAAGTTCTTCTACTGCCCTATTTCCCTCAGCCATGACATCGAAAACGTTTTTATTATTCATTTGACTCTCCATGTTTAATTTTTGCTGCTCCATCATGAGTCTCATTCCGTCGAGCTTGGAGATCTCTGCTTCATACATCTTTTTCTTCTTCATAAACATGATGGCCTTCTTCTTGTCCTTCTTCTGCAATGCCTGTTTGGCTTTGGTTTTAATGTCATCAATTTGCTTTTCGTATTTGTTGATGTTCATTTCGACAAACTTGACTTGGTCATCCATCTTTTTCTTAGTAGCATTAACGTCTACCTTTGGTGCTTCCTTCTTCGCTTTCTTCTTTTTTCCTCCGAAAAGCCAGGCCATGTTAGTTATATTTTTATTATTTAGAGTAACAACTTCTGTTATATAGATTGGGGTTTTGGGGTTTTGGGGTTTTGGGGTTTTGGGGTTTTGGGG